TCTCCCTCAGACACAACTCTGGACCAAAGGCTCTCCAGAGTGAATGCTTCTTCAAGTGAGAACCTCTTCAGAGGAAGAACAGGTCCCATTTAACCTGCTCCACACGCACCTTTAACCTGCTCTTTTGGGAATGACAAGGACAAAACCAGCACAAAACAGTCCTGAGAGTCAGTGACCCCATCTGAGATGGAAGCTGGAAGAGCATTTACACTCTGGCAAGGAAATCTACGTCTCCAAAACGCGTGGCTTTACATTACTGTGTGGAATTTGTGTGGAATTTCAGGTACAACTTCCAATTTCTCATAATCCACGGCTTAGAATTTCAAACCTAAAAATGTTATCTTTGTGCAATTGAGTATAACAACATTAAACTTATTCAAGTTCAAAACAGTGCGTGCTATTAAAACAATTAAGAAGAAAAATGAAAAAAGACCCTATCCTACATACTGGTTAAGAGATTATCCAACTTTTTTTCTAGAGGTAAAGTTTTGCCAGATGGAACCCTTAAGAACTGAATAAAACATGAATGTCTGGGTTAAGAGAGAATGCCTCTTTAAACAACAAAAGAGAACTGAGAGAATAGTAAACTTTATCTAGATAAAGCTCCCGTAGTACCTCTGAATGGTGCCCTACACTTCCATTCTCCGATCCAGAATGCTGCTCATTTCCTTCATCTTCCACATCAGATCCCGAGTCTCGCTCGTCTTGCACTGGAGTAGCTCCTCCATCATCTATCCCCAAGTTAAAAACAGAAAGTAAAACTCAATGACACCTCGCAGCATTTAAAGGAGCCGTCCAGGCTCCCGCTCTAACGCGGAGGGGAAACAACCTCGGGTCCGAACAAACCACCTCAGACACCCCTAAAGAGTGCACAAAACCATCTATACCATGCGGGCAGCGACTGATACACTGCCCAGACACTGGGCTGTTAAAGTCCCCGGACCCGCGGGCCCCGCTGTGCCCGGCGCCCTCCCCGGCAGGGCCCTGCGCCGCTACCTGACTGCTCCCCGCCGTAACAGTTGTGTCCATGGTGTCCGTGCCGGCCCCGCGCCCCTACCCGACCGCTCCCCGCCGTAATAGTGTGTGTCCATGGTTGTCCGTGCCGGCCCCGCGCCCCTACCTGACTGCTCCCCGCCGTAGTAGTCGGTGTCCATGCCGGGCCCGGGCTGGCGGCGGGCACTGCCCTCGGCGCTGCCCCGGCCCCGCCGCCTCACACAGGAACAAGATGGCGCCTCCCCGCTCAGCACCGCCCCCGCCCCGCGCGCACCGCCGGCCGGGTCTCGCGAGACCTCCCAGGGCAGCCGCCGCCGGGGCCGTAACGGGCCCACACGCGACCGCGCCCGGCCGGGTCATTTTTAATCACGGCGAACTAAACCCATTCCTTCCTCCCCCCAAAGTCTTTTTTTTTTTCCCCGTAGAATATCGTTTGATTTCAGTTTGATAACTGAAGCGCTGGGGAAACTGAAGGAGCCTTTGAGGAAAAAAGGCTGTTTGTAGCCCCTGCGTGACCGCGGGCAGCGCACAGCTGCAGTGTGACACGAGTGGGATCCCGGTAGAGGGGTTTCCTTGGGTGAATTCCTGGGGGAACTTCCAGGACCGAACCAACTCCTGACAGCGTTCATGGCTGCCCGAGCCCACAGCCCTGAGCTACACGAGAGATCCCAACATCTCCCTTCTGCCAGACCAAGGCACATCACCACAGTGATAATGGGTGGGACACCCACAGTGTCATCTAGAGTAGAATAGATTTTGCCATTTAAATAGCAGGTAGATTTATCTGCTCCCTACAAACCAAGTGAGCAAGATTAACGTGCATCTCCAGAAGAAGGCAGCAGGGCGGGAGCAGGGCTCAGGTACACGCACACAAGTGGGCTCCGGACGGGGCAGTGGGGGCCGGCAGTGTCCGTGTCACCGCTGCCCGGAGAGTGACCACGGCCGGCCATGGAGAGGGAGGAACAGCCGTCCCAGCAAATTTAGGTCTGACTGTCCTCGCTGAAGCTGCAGTTCAATCTAGTTCATGTGTGGGTGGTTCCTCCAGATTTAGCCTTCAGGATTGACTGGAAGTTCGCCCTGAGCTCCCGGGTGATGGTGACTTCCGGAGTAAACACAGGGCCAGAACAATCCCCATCTTTTCCAGGGATTGTTGCGTTCTGTCTCAGTAACCCTCATCCTCTGAGCAGTGTTAATATAAAGTATTTGGCATGCCCATGATATGTCAGTAGGGGATTACTGGTGATGGCTGCTATCATTGATGCATAATTTCAAAATGGAAAGTCTAATAAATGTGTACAGTGCTGGTCTCCTGCCCCTCAGTCTTCATTTTCTGGGAGGGTACAGGTCAATGTGAGACATAGAAAACTGCTGGGTATGTCATTTGGCATATTTCTAAATGGCACTGATTTTTATAGGTCTATATGCTACACTCTTGTTCAGGGACATCAAACTTTAGTAAGTTGATTACTCTGGGCAAAATGAGTCTATTTCTTCTGTGCTAGAGGCACCTTAGAATGGATGGCAGGGAGGTTAAGCCATTATTAACCAACACACTCCAGAAGCAAGCACAGTTATAATGCAGGGAGTTCAGTGTACCAGGTTAAACACAGCTGAGATTTCAGGACTGAGTTATTACTCAATGTCTTCTACAGCATCTCACTTAGAAGGAGAAATCAACAGTGAAGCCAGATGTTTCTTGGATACAATCCTATATTCTTAGCAAAAACGCAGAAAACATTTTTTTCCCCCCTGAAAGCAGGATACCGAAAATAAAATGTCTCTCTGCTTATAGCTCTACAGGTCTTTTCCAGATTGCCCCCATTCCCTCAGGGATCCTCAGGACTACACTCTTGATGCTATCGCGTCCTTTTTTCCTGCTTCTGTATGACCTACTGCTTTTAGGTCTTTGCATGGTGTGGTTTCACTTAGATCTTTTGTGGAAGGAGCAGGCACACGTGTTGTCAGTATGTGATGGGAGGCCCCTGTCATTTCACTTGTCTGACTTCCATAAAGAAAGGGAATGGCTTTATACAACTGACTAAATAGAAGGCAGGATGACAACTTTGCAACACAACACATAAAGTTCTCTGCAGAAAAAGCACTAAGGAAATAACTTGGGAGTAGTGTAACAGAAAATAATGGACAAGGGGAAACATTAATAGAAACTAACAAAAAAAAAAAGGTTGAATAATGTGTACAAAAGTACACAGAAATTGTACCAAGGGGCCTAGAAAACACAGGAGTCTATCCCATACTAAAGTCCCATGCAGTATCAGAGTAGCCTGCCTTGGAAATTAGTCCTTTATAAATATGCGTCATTTTCTGCAGTGATGGCAAGGCAGTGTCCCAAATTCCAGCAGCACTGAGGCTGCATTGATGAGTGAATAAAGATTTCGTGCATTTAGTGAAAGCGAAAGAAGGCACAGAGGTTCCCTCATAACAGTTATGAATTCCCATCTTCCTGAAAAGAAACCTTCTAACCCCAAGCCACATCCACCACACAGCAGGGGGGGCACCTGTGTCTGAAATAACCTCACCTCAGCAATGCTGAATGACTGGGCCTCAGTGCTGACCCCCATTCTGCAGGTAACGTGTCTGTGCACTCTGCTCTGCACATGCCTTTGTCCCTCATGAGCCAGAGCTTGGCAGACATCAGCCTGTAATATACTCTTGTAATGCCATCCTGGCTGCTTCCCAAGAGGAAGGATGGAGTGACAGTCAGACCATAATGGGATTGCACAGTGGGGGAGAATGACCTGTCTTCTACCAAGCAGCGTAAGCAGCGCGCACTTGGCGCGTGTGAAGGTGTGTAATGACACAGATCCCAGAGCCCCGCCAGTCTGTCTCCCTGTGCAACACCGTGAACTGGCTGGAATGAAATAAGCCTTTCCCTGAGGGACAGAATGCTCAAGAAAACCATGGGATGCACTTGGAAATCCTTTGCTGGTATGTACTGCTTCTTTAGTTTGCTTTGTTCCCTGCACTGCACCTTTCAGAGTTAACAGACATCAGTGACTTAGAGCTACAAATCTGCTTAGAGAAAGGAAGGAGGTTAGTGTAGGCAGGAGGGCTGCTGAATGAACAGTTTAAATTGCAAATTGTTACATCCAATCCACCTCCCTTCTCCCTATCTCAGAGAAATAACTAGTTTAACATAAAATGATGTTTGGCATCTAGGACTTGGTGATACAGAAATGACAAGGCCACTTTGATTTAGCTGGAGAGAAAAATGGGAAAGCTAGTGCCATGTGCAAATTAAACCCTTCGATCCTGACATCAATCTCTTAATTAGGAAGCTGTCAGGAAGAGCTAGTTTTGTTAACACATGTCTATCTGGACAGACCTATTGCTTTGAACAACAGCAGGATTAAATTCACTAATGATTATCCAATTTTAATTTGGTGCATTTCTCAGTGCATTATTCATCATAGAATCATAGAATCCCAGAATGGTTTAGGTGGGAAGGGACCTTAAAGTTCATCTTGTTCCACCCCCTGCCATGGGCAGGGACACCTTCCACTAGCCCAGGTTGCTCCAAGCCCCGTCCAACCTGGCCTTGGACACTTCCAGGGATGGAGCAGCCACAGCTTCTCTGGGCAACCTGTGCCAGGGCCTCACTAATGTGCCATTTAATAATGTTTTTAGCTTTATTACTTAAGCTGTGACTTCACAGTCTTCGCCTTCAGCAATTTGGATACAAGAAAGTTTACAACAATTAATCAGCATAGACCATGCTACAAATTATCCCTAATTACCACTACAAGTACTCCTGTGCCCTGCACAGTCCCTCCCCAAACTCTGCCTTCAGCAGTACACTGAGCTGCTCACTCCTGGCAAGCTCCTCTCCTGTCTTTCCCTGTTCACACAGCTCAGTGACCCCCCAAACCTGAGCTGCCCCTTTGCACTCACAGTGCCTTCTCCAACAGCCCCTTTAGCAGTCACTTGCTCACCTCACACTAGGTACATGTGCTGTGCAGAGCATCTTGGCTGCTTTCCCTTGGTATGTCAAGTCTCTACTCTTTCAGCTTTTGTTTTCTTGCCCTTGAATATGTCTAGACTGAACTGTGGAAATCAATCTCCCTTCCAATATGTATTTCAGCTGGGCAATGAGTCATACTTCTCTTTCAGACTTACCTCAATTTCCCTGTGTTTCCATCTCGTACAGTTTCTATACTGTATTAGGACATAAATCCTGTGCTTCTCTGTGAAATAGCATAGCCATGGTGCCTTGGGCACATGGGTTAACAATGGAGATTATTTTGAGAATGAGATTTTCTGCCCCCAAACAGGCTCCATCTGGAATTTCAGCAGATATGTTTCCTTTGCTGAAGGAATACAAATGGCACTTTTTCCCCCTGCAGTCTAATTATACAAAACCTTTGGGTTTAGAATGTACCTTGGTGTATAAAGAGATGTACTTTGATTTATTTGCCAATATTTGTTCTTCACCTAATAAAATCAGCACTTGGAATTTTGTTAATCACTACAGCATATAGACTTCTAAAAATTGTATCAGAAATAAGTCTGATAAACAACTACTTTGAGGCAAAATCCTTGGGTAAGAATGATTTGCGCAGTTAGAAACTTGAAGAAAGCTCTCCTTCCTCTCTGCCTTGTGGCTTCCTACCTCTCTCTGAAAGTCTCTGAGCCTGGAAGGGCCTATGCTCTATTTCTGCACCTGTATTTTCATGGCTGCTGTAAAACTTAAATAAAAACTCAGGTAAGGAGACTGACATTAAAACACAAATATGTGAAGTGGACAAACACACACTACTCCCAACTATTTATTGCTGTACTTGAATGCTTACCTCTGATTTGGAGCTACAGCAGGAGCCCCAAGAACCTGACACGGGAGCTTCTTGTTGTCTTTCCCATCATACAGTGCAGCCACACTGAACCTAGGAAACAAGAAAATAAGAATTAAGGTATTAGTTATACTAGCAAATGCTCACATGTCCACAATTATTGCACATTTTCATTTGCATGTTTAATAATGGGCACACAGACATAACTTTCTTCTGCACAGAGCCCTGGAGGAAGGTGACACAGCTGCATAAAGGTAGATGGAAAAAAATCTCATCCTCACTGTTTGGGCTCGTCATTAGGGCTGGAACGTGCCTGACTCCTGAGTTCTTGCTTTGGCTGGAGAAACCCTGTATCTGCCTTTCTACAGATATACTACACTTCTGTTTCTTTCCCATACTGGAATTTAACCAAATTTGCAAGATGAACACAGGATTACTGAGAGTA